GTGTCGCAGTTACGGTTCTGCCTGGCCATTGCGAGAGAAAGGTGAGCGTTTTCTGTTTTTATACCTACGTCTCTTTCTATCTTTCTTTCTTTCTTTCCTTTTTCTTTTTTTTTTTTTTTTTTTTTTTTTCTTTCTCTTTCTACGTCTTTTTCTCCACCCTTTATTTTTTCTTCTTTTCTGTCATTCAAAAATTCATCGTCTCGTTTTCTTTCATTCGTGATTTTTTTTTTTTGTACACGCACATACGTATATGACATACATACATTCATTCTTTCTTATATATATATATATATACATATATATGTATATATATATATATACACTCACATACATATACATACATCTATATATAGATATATATGTCTTAACCATTTTCTTGATCTCTCTCGTGAATTTCATCCTCACGATTTCGTTAGATCGATTTCGACGACCTCCTTTCTTTTACTACACTATCTACCATTTTTAAAAATCTCCCTTCCACCCAACCCCTCCCCTTCCCCTTCCCTCTTTCCGTCTCTCTTTACAAAGTTCGTTAACTTTTTACAAGGTGCAATCTTTCAAAGATTCAAATTTCCCGCGTGTGCATTTTTTAAGCGAGTTAATTTGTTTCCTCGGGAAAAAAAGAGTTCATTTCTCTCTTTCCCTCTCTCTTTCTCTCTCTCTCTCTCTCTCTCTCTATATATATATATATATATATATATATTTATTTCAGTGCATAATCTTTCATCATTTTACATTAAATATCTTTAGCCTCTTATCTTTAATTCCCTACAGAATTGATCATTAGGTGAAGTGCACATTATTATTATAAATTCTTGTAATAAGACGATATTATGAATTTGTAATAACGTTTTCATCGTAATAACTTAAAAAAGAGAGAGAGAGAGAGAGAGAAAGGGATAAGATAAAACATATTTCCTATCTCTTTGCAAGATGGTTAGTCTTTGTAATCTTTGAAGGTACTTGGGGAAATTATTAATCGTTTTCCAATGAGCTCGATTTAACGAACTTGGAGAGGTATGTTTAATTCGTTGAAAAGTTTGCATTCGATGATCGATCAATCGATCGAATCAATTTAAGTTTGCTCTTCTCTCGACTAGCTTGAAAATTGTTATGAAAGAGCCGTTTAAATTCATTAATTTCGTATTCGTTCCTTATATCCATTTACAGGGCGGATCGAAAAGTTTCCAGATGGATGAAAAATATTTCCAGATGATATTTAAAAATCGTTTAATCTTCTTCGAAATGTTTTTATTTGTTTCTTTTTTTTTTTTTTTTTTTTTCTTCAAATTGTAAAAAAGAAGTTCTCACTTTTACGATTAATTATCCTATAAAAAGTTTCGAATAAGTGTAAATTGATTTTTATTATAAAATCGTTTAGAAACTTTTAATCCGCCCATTATAATGTCGATAAAAATTATATTTTTATTTCCATTCGATGATGTGAAATATCATACTCGTTCGTTTCTAAAGTACATTAAATTAACGAATATACAGACACATACACAGATATACTTATGTTACCTCTTTCTATTTCATTTATCATGTCTCTCCAATGATAATATTTACGTAATAACGTTCAAAGACTATTTCATTTATTCAATTGCATGTAATATTATCACTAATATCATCCAAGCTAATTGCTAAGCTCGCTGATGTAATGCGATAAGATTAAATTAACCCATTTGCAACAGAGCGAATATCAATTCAGCAACTAGCTATATTAGGTATAATATAGGTGTAGAATTCTATACAGTTATAGTTAGTTATAGTTCATTTCTATAGAAATGTAAATAATCATAAGTACAGAGAAAGAGAAATCCTATATGATAAGAGCTTTTCTCGATGAGATTATAAATTATATACTTGCGTTTCGTATGTAGGTGAATTTATTTGTGAATTGAGAAAAAAAAAGCTTGCTAAAGATCGATTCATTTCAATGTTGAATTTTAATATAAGGTTATAATATTTTTTCTTCATTTTTTTTTTTTTTTCATTCTACAAAACAAACTTAATGTATAAAAAGAATTCGTATTATCTAAATATAATAATTCTTTTGGTTTCCTCTAATTTTATTCTTTAACAATATTAATATCGATCTTAATGTGATCTTGAATAGGTTCTCTCGCAAAAATTATATTCATTCTAAATATTAAAATGATATAATTGTTTTTGAAAAAATTTTTTCATCAAAGTTTTCTTTCAGAAAAAAATAATGAATGAAAAGATTATTTATCTCTCGAATATATTCTTACGTCGTTAGAGAAAAAGCAAAGAGAAAAATTGATAGGAATATTTACGTATGTACATATTGTACGATTTGTATAATTAAATTTTGCAGTAGCTAGTACCTTTAAATTCAATGCAATTCCAATGAATAAAGTGAATTGAAATTCTGCGAACGAACAGAGCTCATAGGTACCTGCATTTTCGAGGAAGGCTAGCTTTTGACCATATATTTCACCCGACTGTTCCCATGAATAATCTAGAAATCGAAAACACTGTTTTACTGTATGATGATGTGTCGATATTTAAAACAATTATAAATATTTATAACTATAATGAAAAGAAAAAAGTAAATAAAAAAAATTATATTTAGATATTAGATTGTTTTAATATTACAAATAGTACAATGAATATATCAATTTTTATATCAACTTTAATACAATTTTTAAGTTTATCAAATATTCCTCCTATACCTTTTTTTCTTTTTGTAAGATAAGTAAATGAATCAAAAAAGAAAAAAAAATGAAAAAGAAAGAAGAAAAAATTATAAACAAACAATAAATTATCAACGTTTCAAAAACTAATTTCTTACTGATAATAAAACAAACTTTTTTCTCTTTAACGTTGAATTCATTTTTGTTTATTTATTTTATTTTTCCTTTTTTTTTCGTAATATTTTTTTAATAAAATTAAACAATTATAATTAATGGCTCAACATATAGCAAATGGAAATTAATCAGAATTTCATTATGTCGATTATCGAAAGTATGTTACTATGTCGTACGATCACGTCTTCCCGATTTATGATTATAATCTAGTGAAGTTTTTCAAAAGTTGGAAGTCGAATATTTTCGTTGGCGAATATTTTCGTTGGCTGTAGGGAGATTATCGTTTGCAAGTTGAGCGTTAAATTAGTCTCGATCAAAAGTTCGCCGATTGCAATCAACGATAATGTTAACGTAACTTCTCGAGTTTTTACGACGTTATTATAACAAAATGACGAAGAATTTAATGATCTTTTTTACTCGCCAATAAAAAGTATTGACGATTTTGAGAAAAGATTAAAAAAAATTTATTATCAAAAGTCAAATGAATATTTCGAATATTTGAACACGAATGATGTTTCATATTTTATTATTTAACTTATACGAATATGATTTTTATCTTTCTCTCTCTCTCTCTCTCTCTCTCTCTCTCTCTCTCTCTCTCTCTCTATTTCGAATACAATAATAATATTAATCAATAAACGATGTATTAAAATAATTTTTACAAAAAAATTCTGTTGCATGTTAATCAATAAAATATAACATTATATTGTAAATTTCTCTGATATAATATCGTACAATCGAATCGTTCAATCAATATCGTACAAAATATATAACAAAAAATATCTTTGATTATTAATATTTTCATATTAAATTGACCATTTTCATGAATAACTGAAATTTGTTAATTAAACTCATCAACATAGAACGTTCTTATACGAGCAGATTTGAACATTTTACATCGTTACAATTTAGAAAGCTCGTTTCAAACGTTGATTTCGTTGGCAAATAAATTACTTTATTAATCTCATAGATGTCCTCTTCTAGTACTTCTCTCTCTCTCTCTCTTCTCTCTCTCTCTTCTCTCTCTCTCTCTCTTTCTCTCTCTGTCTCTATCTATCTATTTATCTATTTATCTCTATCTGTCTCTTTTTGAACGAAAACAAGTCTATTTTTAATTCTCATGTATTTCGTCATTTCAACGAGACGTAACGCAATTACGAAGGATAATTAATGTTCTTTATATTTGAACATTTAACACATGTATGTCAGTTAAAATGGATAAATAATAAATAAATAAATCGTTAGAACGTGCATAGGGAAGAGGTTTGTAATTATATCTTTATGAACTGTTCAATCGAAAACGACTGTTCATTCGTTATTTCGTTGTTTCCATTGAAAATCGTGAAAATAAAAAAAAAAAAAAAAAAAATAAAAAAAAAATTCTTTCAATCGTACTTTTATTATATTATTAAAATATATATAAATTTTTATGAATTTATTAATAAATCAAAATTTATTCGATACACGTCGTTCTTGTCCTCGTCGTCGTCGTCGTCGTGGAATGTTAATATGTTGTTCACACAGCAGTGACAAGTGAGAACCCGTTTAACTTGGTGAAAGCATGTCGTTAAAGAGATTGACTCGTACTACTGAAATTAAATCACGGTTACTTCCTCCCATCGCGACAGGAGTTTTACCGAAATTAGAAAAAATTATCATCATTATTATTATTATTATTATTATTATTATTATTATTATTATTATAATTATTTCTATTATTATTATAAATATTATTTGTACAACATGTAATACATAAACTTACATAGTTAAAACATAAATATTTTTTGTTCTTTTTATAATAGAACAACGAAGGAATTATTATATTAATTGTTTTTATATTGATCATTAAAATACAATTAACATAATCAATATATAATGTTGACAATACTTTTCTAATTCAAATCCTTTTTAATATATAAATCTTACTTCTCGCGTGGAAAATAATTAATGATTTATATAAAACAATATTATATTAATAATTAACGACATATTAAATATTGTTGCGTTTAATTGTTCTTAGTAAAATAATTACAAAAAAGAAAAAATAAATAAAAGAAAAAGGAGAAGAGAAAAGAAAAAAAAGACAGAGAGAGAGAGAGAGAGAGAGAGAGAGAGAGAGAGAGAAAGGGAGAAAGGGAGAGAGGGAGAAAGGCAAGAGATAAAAAAAAAAATATAAGACAAAGTATTTTCATATTTTTCGAGAAGGA